AATCTAATAGAGTTATCTTTTTGCTGTGGACGAGATCTTTGAAAAGGTTTTTTAGGATAATTTGAATCTAAATCTTCGTTACCATATATACCTAAATTATTAAAGAATTTAGCTAAATAATATTTTTCATAATCTTCTTCCGTTTGTAAATTTAATGGAGGACCTCTTGGTTGTCTAACCGGTTCAATTGTTTGCGAAACTGGTGCCTGAGTTTTTTGTGTTTTTTGGGATTGAAGGGGCGAAGCCCCATTGCTTTGCAATACTTCCTTTCTTAATTTTTCTATCTCTGCATCATATTCAGATTTCTGTTTTGCTAATGCTTCATTAACCATTTTTTGTATATCAGGTGTTTGTGAAATTACCGGAGTTTCAATTATTTTAGGGTTATAGGAAGTTTGTTGATAAACTTTACCTTCATACAAATTTGGAGTACGTTCTAGCCACATATTTTTTAATTCGGTGAAAAATGCATTAATACCACCTGGATTTGCAATTTTCATCCATGTATAAAGCTCACCCGGTAATTGGTTTTTAAGAAATCCTAATACTTGTTCATCATTATCAGCTGTTCCTAATAATAGTGGCCGAATTCTAGTTTCATAAATATCAGGAGTATCATTTATTTGAAATTTTTCTTGAGTCAATTTTTGGATTGCAGATTGTTGACTACCTATTGTTTCTCTTTGATATTTCGCATTTAAATATGCGCGTAATGTAGCAGGTGTATTTATAGCAGGATTACCATGAGTATAGGGATCATTAGCTGGTACTGGAGCAAATTTACCTCCTATTTTACTTTTTAAAACATCGCATTTAACAGCATCATTGAAATCTCCTGCATTTGCATTTTCAAGAGCCGTCATTTGAGGTACTGCAATAGACCATGCTTGTTCTAATGTATTTACATAATCATCGGGTGGCATTTGGCCTATATATTGTGGAATTGGTTGAAAAGATTGATAGATTAATTTTAATACTGGTCGTCGTCTACCTTCTGCCATATTTTGTGGATTATTATGTAGTAATAAAATTTGTCCCTGCAAATTTAAAATTAATTGTTCTGCATTTCGAGTTCTATTTTTCCACTTTCCCCATTTAAGATCGATCTGGATATCACATAAATGTAAATCATTTTCCAATGTATCTATTCTGATACGACATTGTTGTAATTCTAAAAAATACTGCTGGCATACAACTCTTTCATTATTATATGCAGTAGTTATTAAGTTGAGATCTCCTTGAGTTTGTGTTAACTCTGTTTGACGTATATCGCGTTCTGCTTCTGCGCTATATCTTCGTTGTTGCTCATTTATAAGATCGGTTTGAAGATTGTTGTATTTGCGACGTATCTGTCGTGTTACTCTTTTTATTTGGTTGGATAAAATTGTTCTATTCGTTCCTGTATTATCCAAATAACCATCAATAGTATCGGCTAACTCAATTATTGTTGTCATATCTGGATCAGATGTATAACTATCCTGAGAATTTTCATCTGATTCATATTCATTTGACGTATCCCATATTTGAGCATTTTGTAGACCCGAAGGGTCATTGCTTTGCAATAAAGTTTCTTGAGTATTTATAAGTTCTACTCTATCTCGATATCTTAATAATGCTAATGCAAAATTTTGACAATGTAAATCAGTAATTCGATTTTTTTGCTGAGTTATCTTATTATTTCGGTCAATAAGATTATACTT